TGGAGGAGCCCTGGATGAAGGGCGACGCATGACTTTTAGTAGCCACAGCTGTTCTGGCTGCCGGAGGACGAGCCACAGCTGTGAGGGCTCTAGAAAGGCACACTGAACACGCCCCTGCAAAAAGCACCATAACAAAATAAAATTAACAGTATCACAGAATTTGACAAGTTCCACATCAAGCACAAAATCGTGAATTTCGTGAAAGCACTATATATAGTTGCCATGGTTTTGAGAGTTTGTGAGAATGGTGACGTGAACTGCCCCTTCCTGCGCACTAGTCACTGTAATGACTATTGTAATAAGATGCACTAGCGAATAAGTACAGGTTGTGCAGGAGACACCTCGCCTCGGAAATGTTCGAACGTGATCTGAAGACAGAGTTAACAAACAAGGTGTATTTGTTGACAAAACCATCGTGAAGTCGAGAGCAATATTTCTATTTCTATCTATCTAGATTTAAAGAGATGTATTCACAAGCCCGTGTGTTTAGAGTGTCATAAGGCTGCTTCACCTCACCGGACGTTTTGTTGCCTTGTTCTGAATCGCAGAACATTGCGCTGTGCATACCTGAAAATTTCATCTATTCATCTATTTTGTAAATTTTACACATTACTGTCTCCATTTTACTTTCAGCATGGTTAGAAATGCACTCATCAGTGCCAATTCTTTTTAACCCTAAAATATAAAAACAGTGTTTTTACTCCGTTACTACTACTCAGTATTAATTGTAACCAATTTACAATTACAGTGCATCTGACAGTGCAGGACACATCACAGCATTCCAGGTTTAGTGAATATAGTCAACCCATTTAAAATATTTTTTTCAGCGATACTAGTTATTTACCCAACGATTTTTTAATATTATGTCCTATCAAACGATACTGTTTTCTGCTTAAGGAAAAAAAAATTATAGCTACTTGCTGTTTAGGTAAAATTAATAATGCTTTTTAAATTTTTCTTTGTATAGAAAGAGTGGGTTAAGAGTTAGAGTAAACTAGCACAAACCCAAATATCCTATGGCCTGATATGACCTGCAAAGCTGATTTTCAGAAAGGTTCTGGCCCGCAAACAATCCAAATTAAAACTGGGATTATAGAAAATAAAAAAAAAAAACAATTTTGTAAGTGGCTTTAACTTGTGGCTTAAACTACAGTGACAGAAAATACGCATCAGGCGCTACTAAAGAATGTGTCTAGATAGGATATCCAGAAAAAAAATGTGAAATACTGTACCATTAGGGGTTACAATATTTTATAGCAACTACTGCATTCCAATTAATTGTTCTAATATGTTTTAAATAATAACTTTATCATTATAGTATAATTTAGTTAAGAAGAAAGCAAACTTCTACTTGCGAAACATCATTTAGCAAACCTGAATTTAAATTGATCTTCAAAAATGTGATCACAAAAAAGTTAACTATACCCATGTATATAATATGATACAATACAATACTAATCAAATCTTATTGACTCAATGTCAGGTATTCCTGACATTAACATTTCATTGACGGGTTATTAACGTTTAGTCCTTTTTACACATCCAAGGCTAAACTTGTGGTACTATAAAATCCAGATCAACCATAAATTTAAAGCAAATTGGCTGACATACAGTATCAGTAGATCACCACAAAATTGTTCCTTTATAAACAAAAATAGCATGAAAAGAGTAGATCAGTGCAAGTACCTCCCATCCTGTAAAATGTGGAAATTACTTGTTGAGTTAATTTGGAAAAAGGATTGAGTGCTTTAGTATTATTTATGGAGTACAGCTTCAATCAAACAAAATTCGATGGCTGCAAACTTTTACTTTGTAACATGATTCAAGCAGTCATGCATATTGAGCTGCATTCAGGTAGAGTTGGTTTTAAAGTTGAGTTTTGTGTCTGAGTAGGCAAGTTTCTGTTAACACATTCACACAATGAAGTGTTTTATAAAATATAATTCCGATTACATCTTAACCCTGAAAGGCCAAGAGATTGTAAAGGATGATGAATGCTTAATCAATAAGAAACGATTTATCAGGAGGCTGGGAGCCTTTATTGCTTGTATAAACTGTTGTTCTGAGAGCCTCTGCAAGGCAGTATAGCCTGTTTTATAAACTGCAACTCACGAAAGACTGCAGGCGGGTAGCCAGTCATGCTACACTGAGATTTATACAAAAACTGACAGCTTTAGTAAAAACTGCTCCCTTAATTCTGACAGGTTCAGCACACATGAAAAGCGTTTGTCACCCCAGTGTCAACCTGAAGGAGTCCATGCCAAAGACGATGCACTTTTAACTACCAAAATGAATTAAAATAGGAGCAAAAAGCTCTATCCGAACCAAAAAAAAGGATGCCTCAAGGCTTCTTAGGAATTCTCCAGTATTTATCATCCAGGGATAGCAAACAGCACACTAAGGGATCTTCTAATTTCTATTCTCTGAACATCTGTGCTTAAGCTTCTTGTCTTTATCAAGATGTTTTTTTTTGTTTTTTGTTTTTTTGTATTGTGCTCTGATGATCAGAGGATTGTTTCACACATGGAAAAGCAGTTCAACACTAATCCATCATGATTTTCTCACATTTGTGGATTATTTCCATTTAAATGATCAGTGTCAGGACAAAAAAACAAACAAGAACATAATTCATGGCATAATGATCTTCAGAGTCCAGTACATTAGGGAGGTAAACTAGTTTTTAAGGTTATTTTAACAATGTTCATACAGCACCACTAACAGTGACGTATTTAATATGTGCAAAATAACCAACACATTTTACAATGCAAAACACAGGGCATCTGTATGTTTTATTTCACTTGTCTTTTTGGAGTGTTCACCCAGTTATGAAGCAAATGTAATGAAATACAAGTGAAATGAAATATGTTCAATTGGTAGAAAAGTTTTCTTCTTAACTCTACCTAAGCTATGTTAAAAGAGCACAGCTTCATTTCAGTTTCCAGCAAAAAGGATACATTATCACACCCAAACTCACACCCGAAGAAGGCTCCTCAGCCGAAACGTTGTTACTTCTCGTTTCAGCATGGAATAACCTTTAACTTGTTCCTTTGTAGCCTATACATGCTAACGCAGCTTCCTACTTGAAGATACATTATCAGTCTTTTTCCTATAATTAGAAAACTAACTTGTTAACTGAAAATATATCCATTTCCCATGACATAGATGGGTGATATCTTTCTCCTCGTTCAGCTTCATGGTTATTTTGACATTATAACATTGATCATGTTTCAGGAGTGTTTTGGGTTTGATGGGATTTTATCTACCTCTGCCTTATATTTCTGCATGTACCACAAGATAACTGACCAAGAAGAGACAGCAACTACACATGGAATGGGTGGCATCTCACCCAGACCAATGCAACTTGCAGACAAATATACAGTACTATGCATGCACTTCCTTCTGAAGGATTGTAATCACTATGTAAAACATTCACAGTCCATGGTATGTCAACTACAAAGTACTGGTGTAGTGACTATCAGAAACGACTTGTTCCTGGCACAAGTCAGTGGCTTACTATACAAAGCAAACATGTTATTTAACCAAACAGTGTTCTTTTCTATGTTCTATTATAAGACCTAAAATCTGTGCTTCTGTTGTAACTGACTCTGTAGCAGCAGTCTCTTTGAATGAAAGGGTTTCCAAAGAGGATAATCAAAATGAATAAAGTAACATTTAACATTGTATTATATACTATGGTATCATGCTAATGAAAAATGTGCCATCCCCAGTCAGGAATCAGGCCTTCATTGATGAATTTGAGAAATAATAAAAGTGTAGTGACAGTTTAATCAAAAGTTGTCTCTTTGATTTAATCGACCTACCTCTTTATTTGATTGATTTAAGGAAAGCGTCCATACTTTTATCTCGCATATTCTCTACAAAATTCCACACATGTGTTCTTTAGGCATCAGCAGGATTCACATAGAGTTTTGACTGCCAGACTGTCATATAGATAAACAATGTAGAGTTTTCTCCTTTGTTTGGCTTAGACCAGTGGATTTATTTTTCTTTATCTCAGCAGTCAAGTCTGGTAAGATAGAAGAATGCAAGATACTATTTCCATTAAGAAAGCAGTGGTAATTCTTTATGAACAATATATACGGTATTGTAACTGTGCTTACAAATAAATGTTCCGGACTATACTTTTTGTTACGGAATGATAGCAAAACTGAACCACACATCAGATAAAGTATTATAGGCCTCTGGAAGAGGGATGAGTGACATTTGTAATGGTCTGTAGCTAATGCATCTCCCTCAGAATAAACAATCTAAATAACCAGGTGTAGATACCCAATGCTGAACACATATTGTTTCAGAGACAGAATGATCAAGAATGATTTTTCCCGAATACTTAAATTGTAACCTAATTTATTCACTCATTGATTGTCTATCTATTTGAAAGTAAGCTTTCCATTTTTAGTTTTTCATTTATCCATCCATTTTCGAAACCCCCTTATCTGATACAGGGTTGTTGGGGGGAAATGGAGCCCATCCCAGCAAGGACATGAGGCAGGATAACACTGCATGGGACACCAGTCTATTGCAGGGCACACACAGACATAGACTCACACACACTTACACTTGATTCAATTTTCCCAAAAGCCAATTAACCTACCAGTACTGTATGTGTTTGGACTGTGGGAGGAAACTGGAGCACCCAGAGGAAACCCATGTGAACACAGGGAGAACATACAAACTCAGATAGCAGATAGCAGAGATTTACTGTAGGTAAGATAAGATCACTTCATTGGCCAGATACAATTTCTTGTATTAGGAATTTGTTTTTTCACATACCCCAACTTGCTCTCCATCAGACACACAGACAGAGAGAAGCTTGGAGTCAGAGCACAGGGTCAGACATTTTGGCACCCCTGGAGCAGCTGGGGTTAAGGAGAACAATTTCTCTGCTGGCCACAGGATACGAACTGGCAACCTTCCAGCCACAGGTGCAGATCCTTAGCCACAGAGCCACTGCACCGCCCGAGATAAAGGTTTGAAAAATGTAAAGAATTGTGGAGAGGTGAATCCTGCACATTTTGAAGCTGAACAGTTTAAAATGTTCGAGTATAACATTTCAGCTACAGTATAAACGTTGAAAAAATTCAGTTACTGGACACATGCCTGCTGAAGGCCAAGGTCAATATATTGTTTTTCTGACACATGCACTGTTTATCTGAACATGTTGCAAGTCCTAAAATGCCATTTTAGTGTAATTGTTATCATACATTTTACATACATACTGTTGCCTATGACAGCAAAGCTTTTGTACCAGGGGTACTGTATATTTTCATCCAAAACCTTGCATCATCTAGCACCTTTTTCTTTTGCAGATACAGCAAGCTTATTTGACCAACACCAGTAATTGTTAACAATGGTGTCATTTAACAGTAGAACAGTTTGGGAGGAAGGCTGTTCTAATCTTGCACATCTTCTCTTGCACCCTTTCCTCGACTTCAGCTTCATCACTGTAGCAGCTCCCAGGTCTCTGGTTTCCTCTGGGAAGTGAGAGGGGTTGTAATGAAGTCCATCTCTGGCTAGCACTGTAGTTGACTCTTCCAGGTGAGCCAGTGCCAAAGTATTAAGTATGCTGTCCTTTAATCTTCCTTGTCTAGTTCTGTTATCATTAGAATTTGACAAAATTGCCAAACATCGTAATGGAGATTCTCCAAACTATCAACAAGGCTGTGATTTATGCAAAAAACTTAGTATTTACCAACAACAGCTACTGTATGAGAGGGTCATGTGCCATATGGAGTTTTCTTGGTTGAACATGTAATTGTTGTTGCAGTATATTGATGTACTGTACATACAGGTTTTGTGCTTTACCCTTTATTGGTTCAGGTTCAGCAACTGGCAAAACTGATGCCTTTAGTGAAGAAATAAAAGGCTTGCTGAAATGTACAGTCCCACAAAGGAATAACAGGGAGAAAAAAATGGTAGTATAGCTATTACATTCCTATCATGTTTGACTTCTGGTCTTTAGAAACTGAAACGATGTATAGAGTTTTGCACCATGAAGTTAAGGGGGGAATGAACAAGCAGTGAAAAAGGCTTACCTGTCAATGCTGCAAATGCAAGAAAGTCTTTCAATCAGTCATCTGTGATCTCATCCATCTCTTTCTTGAAGAAAATCAGGGTATCAGCTTTCAACGAAATGGCTGGGAGGCTTGTTCCAGACTCCCACAGCTTTGTGCAAAAAGTTGTCCTCTTGTTAATTTTAAATTCATCACCCCCTTTGTTTCCATTTGTGTCCTTTAGTTCTTGTTTCACTAATTTGAGGATGTCCATGTGATTCACTTTGTTAGTTTTCATTTCAGTCACTTTGGCCAGGCTTTGTAAGAGATCCTGAAACAGACTGATGCAAGTATAAGATATCCATATTTTCACTTTCTTTTTGTGAAGATATGTATATATTAAAGCAGACTAGGATAATCATAACCAGCATAAAATTATACTGATCTACAGTATGCATATGGAGAACTCACGCACCAGTGGAAAACTTGCATTAGGGATGAAGTAGCCTTCGGAGATTCCCGCTTTTTAGTTGTCTCAGATGCAAATCATTGTTGGTAATTTAGCTAAATGAACTAAATGTAATTTAGTTCAATGAACCAGAAAAATGACTTGTTTGCCATCTTAGAAGATTCATCCTTAAAATGGCATATCAACCTCACTGCATTTGGAAATTAACAAATTTAATGTGATTTTCTTGACGTCATTTTCCTGCACTCTCTCTACTTCCCAATTTATTTGTGGAATTTGCTCCAATTTGTTTTGCTAGTTGGATATGAATTAATTAGTCTAAAACTTCATAGTTGACATATAATAATGGATAACAATAAACTTATGTCTACAGTTTGGCCAGTTCTACTGAATGCATAATTAAGGGGGTGTTTTTCAAAGTCATGTTTTCCAATAAATTAATTAAAATGTATGAAGTGAAGTTTTTTTATCCCAATTCCCATGGTTATAACTTTTCATTTCAGAAGTGTGATAAAGCTAGGTTTAAGTAATAGTATTATATGTTTTGCAACCACATCTGTTGATATACAGCACTCAATAGTTAGTGTCTGATAGAGGGGCTCTAGATTAAAATATTTTTAACTGGTACAGCTGCACGTGTAAATGGAATACCTTTTATGCTTTAGTATGAGGCTAGAAAACCACAAAAGGTAGGAGAAAATGGGACATAGTGGTATAAAAATCAATAGCATCTCATACTGTATTTCAGTACTGAAACCAAATAATGGGAAAAGCAGAATGGGAAAAATCAATTGATTTTTCACTACATTAATCAGAAATCTTTGTTTCACATGTCTCACTGATGATTGATAACCAACAGCCAACCATCCTAATCTCACAAGGGTTTTTGCCAGACGTATTCCAACAACAACAATCTCATTGTACAATTACATAAAAGCTTTGAATTTATTACCTCTTTCAGGGTAATTGTCTTTTTTTCTGTTTTAGAAAGAAGTTGTGTCCAGCATTTCTATTTATTCCTGCATGCTCAGAGGTGGCTTTATCTTGTATCCTTTTTCTGAGTCCTGCCCACTATAGATTTGTTTATATTGGTTCAATGCAGACCCACAAAAGACTTATTGGTAGCCTTTGACAAGTAGAAATATATATGCTGACCACTCAGATGGAATGGAAATCGCTACAGTACCTCATTCATAACAACTGTGAAACAATGAGACGGATCTTTTCAGATCATTTGAACCCTTTTCAGTCTGTCGTCATGTAAAAGATTGCATCTTGAATTTACCTACATTTTCATGAGTAAGGATAGATTTTTTTCACACATGATCATTTTTCTACTTAAAATGATCTGTTTTTATTTCTGTTGTTCGGGTTTTTCTCAATTGTGAATACACAGAAAACTGAGGGTATGACACTGTAGCCGCTTGCTCAAAAGTCATATCAGCAAATCAATATCACTAACCATGTACAGTATGAACAACTTAATTCCAATCCTTCTTCAAACTAGCTTGGCCGATGTTTTAACATTGTTAATGACAATTCTTACTCTTGAATTTCTTCCTTTTCTTTACATACAGTTCTTGTTTACCTTTTCAATTTTTCTTTTATGGAAATCAGCCCCCAACCACCTTTCATTTAAGAAGCTATTGCAATTATTTGGGCCTATAATCAAAATGCACATCATAGCCTTGAAAAAATAGCAGCTCAGCATTGATACGTTTTGCTCGTCCAATGAGCAATATTCCCTTCAATTGCACATTTACTCTCTCTTGACACCATATGGATCCTACCTTAATGAAACTGTGTTCATCCTTGGCAGCCCACAGACTGGTTAGATTCCTAGGGGAACACAGCATTAAAGGATATTTCAACGACAAACAGACACAAGGATTAGTGTTATTGATGGTACCCCTGGGAACACTATGCCACTAATAGGGGCAGTGTTTCAATGATAGGCTACCCAGGACTTCTACACCTTTGACTGGAGCTCCTCTGAAATAAGAACATTAGAAAGGTTATAATAATAATAATAAAAAATGTTATTTTATATAGCACCTTTAAAGGTGGCTTCTCAAAGCACTTTACAGGATGACAACAACAATAAATAAAAAGAATACACAAGATAAAACACAATTACAATACACAGAGGAGACCGTAGATGGTGGTACTAAGAAAAGCAGGGGGGTGAATAATGGAACCAGTTAAGTAAAGGCTTTTCTAAAGAAGAAGGTTTTGAGTCTGGATTTGAAGGAGTTTAGAGAAGGTGACTCTCTGAAATCCTTGGGCAGGGAGTTCCAGAGCTTGGGGGCAAAACAGGAGAAGGCCCTGTCACACATACAATGTAGATGGGCTTGGGGGACAGTAAGGACACCAGAATTAGAAGAGCGAAGGTTGCGAGGTGGGGAGTAGGGCGATAATAGTTCAGACAGGTACTGAGGTGCCAAGCCATGCAGAGCTTTGTACTGTAGGTGAGCATGAGGATTTTAAAGTCCAAACAGAATTTGACAGGAAGCCAGTGCAAGGACTCCAGGATAGGAGTAATGTGACAATTTGCACTAAATCTGGTCAGGATTCTGGCTGCTGAATTTAGGACATACTGCAGTTTGTTCAAAGTAGATTTAGATACCCCAGCAAGTAGAGCATTACAGTAGTCAATTTGAGAGAAGACAAATGTGTTGATCTGCTTTTCAGCCACAGTTAGCGATAACATAGGACGTAGTGTGGAGAGCATCTATTTTATAGCATGGCAGCCTATTTGGTAGTCAGTGGTTAATTAATGCAAGCAACTCATTCAGCTCTTTCTTAATGCGCTTAGCTTCAACAACATCAATGGGTAGTTTGTTGCAAATTCCCACAACCTTTCTGGTTTTTAAATGTATGTCTGAATAGTTTCCATTTGGAACATCTGGCTCCTGTTTAATTGTTGGTTCGCTTCACTGTTCAAGACTAAAAAAGTTTCATTCCTTCAGTCTGTCAGTTAAGGACATTTTCTTTCAGTCTGCATCTGGTAGCTCTTCTCTGGAATGATTCCACAGCAGTAGTATCTATTTTATAACATGGTGACCAACAGTTTACACAATATTTTAAATGAGGTTTTACTAGTGTGTTAAGAATTCAACATAACATCCCTTTTTTATTTAAATTCTATGCTTTTAACTATACATCCTCACACTTTGTTTGCTTTTTTACTGCTTCCCTACATTGTCTGGAAGATTTAAATCATGTGTCAACGTAATAATATTAATATCATATATCATTAATATTTATTCATAGTTCACCTTTTTAATTCTTTTTCAGATTCGTTTGTTTACTTCTACAGTATTTGCTGTACCGCCTAATTTGGTATCATTTGAAAAATGTAGTCAGCTAAGTATACCGAAATCTAGAGATTGATACAAATTGAGAAAAGTATTGGCCCTAGTACAGATACCTGAAGTCCTCCTCTAATTACATCACCCCTTATATGTGTCTGTTTTCTATTTAATAACCAATTCTCAATCTAAACACTGAAGTGTTCCCGAATGTCTACAACCTGCAATTTGAAAATTAATATTTTATGGGGATAAACTCTTTTTGAAAAGTCTTCTGAAAATATGAATACTGTAAGTTGTATCATAGCTCTGAGTGTACCTTACTCCGGTGTTGGTTAGGCAAGATACTGCTAGCATTACTGAATTCCTGTTGATTATTTCTATATAGATGATCCACCAGGTTAGTTCTTATGATTGTTTCCATTACGATACATGTAACAAATGTCAGATGTTTTGGTGTGTAATTTATTTTTGTAAGGTGTTCTCACTCTTTTTATGGATTTGTACTACATTTCCGATTCTCCAGTATCTGGGTGCTGCACCTGCCTTAAGCGACTGTTGGAAGACTTGCCAATGGCTTCTGAATAACATCTTTTGTTTCCTTGGGTACAATTGGTAAGATACCATTACACCCTGGGGATTCATTTATCTGCAGTACTTCTAGTATCTGAAACTTCTAGTATCACTCTCACTCTTCTATCCTAATACTTATACAAACCTTAGTCCTTCTGCTGACTGAGATATATTGTGTGTTTCTTTCTTACTGAATACCTGAGTAAAATGCTCTTATAGTACATCAGTCAACTCCCTTTCATTGTCTGTAGATTTCCAATTTTTTGTCCCTTTTATATCTAACTTCATAGTAAAATGTATACATCCCAACCGTTTATGTACACCATCTATAAAATGTTTTTAGGACTCCTATTTTATTCATCAGGTTGTTTACATCCTTATAACGCTATACTGTACATGTAAAAAACGTACAGAATAATATCTAGAACGGACATTTACACTGTAAGTTCTGTTGTACAAGGTGTGAATTTATCTTTAAGAATTTCAATATACATTTATTAATTTAATGTTTGCTTTATTTGATGTTAGGCGCCAGAGAGACAGCTAGCTTCGGAGCGGAACATCTGAGTTTGCAGGTGACAAGAGATCGAAAAGGCAGTTGAATCGCTTTAACACTCCAGGGACAGAGAGATCTTTCTACGAGTAGAGTGTGAAACCATATATTCTGCAACTGCCGCACTTACAAAACGAGTTTTTAAATAAACGTATTCAGAACACAGATTTCATTTTCGAGAGATGAGAGAGGATCTGTTGGTCTCTGCTCTTCTGAAGTGGACGCGCATCTTAATTCAGCACCTCGGATAGCAACCTCAATGCTCTGCCTTTATTGTCGGAATAGCCCTTTTCCTATCATTTCGAACTGCTTTTCATTATTAAACATAAGTTGTTCGCTGTTTTCTTTGCATTAACAGTGTATTCGTTCTTTAGTTTCAAAGTACTTAAATCTTAAACATTTTCGAAGGCATGTTTGTACATAATTGGTAAGATATTTAACCAAGAAAGGTTTAATTTAGTACCTTACAATTCTACAACAAACCTCAACACATATTTCAAAAACACATTTAACAAAAATTCAGTGTTTTTCGTATATTATTGTTCGTCACCTAAGCTAAATGGACGAAACATTCATTGGTTATCATAGGCATTAGACATGTAGTAAAATGTCTGATATATTTTCTAGAAAAATAGGGGTAAAGAATTATGACTGAGATGGCCTTTTCATTTTATGATTATGACTATAATTTACTCATATCATGGTCTGAATGTCACAATTCCTAGAAAAGTGTCCAGTTATCGTGAACTGCTAGATGGCAGTGTTTGTATAAACCAGAGCCTTCTAATTATACCCTTGCGTCTGGCAATTTAATAAAAAACGCTTTTCCATCACACAGATGCTTCAAAATAATTTAAACCATTCAGGATTTATTAATCTAAACCTTCAAATGTTTAATTCAAGTCAAATTTTAAAACAACGTTCGTCTGGTAAAACTGGTAAACATTTTTGTCACAAAGCAACTGTCCATGAACATTTAGGGTCAGGTGCATGCATGATAACCTGTTACCATATCTGATAATCGGATATAATGGAAATCTGTAAAATTACGCTTTTGTAAAAGAGAATGTAAAATATCCTAACAACATGAACTAATCAGAGCTTGTGTGAGTGCTTGTCTGGAAAATGTTCAGTATCTGGGTAGGAACAGTTCAGTTGAAATCCATTCTTAGTTACTAAAAAAAGACCATATTACACGCAGTGATTCAACACGGTGCTCTTCTGCGTAAACAATAGTAGCTCTTCCCAATACGCTGAAACCGTAGTTTACCATGCGTGTCAAACACCCAACGATGAGGTACGGGTCGGTTCGGACTGCGGTGCTGTACGCGCTCTCTGATATCTCTACTTGAACATGAAATCTAATTAAAGGCGTTTAGGTTTACGCGGTGACATATTACTAGTCTATTATGCCAGTAAATAAAAAACAATCCAAGACGCTATTACAGTACCTTTCTCTTCTAGGCAGCTGGTGATTGCATGGGAACGGGTACCAACAGTTCCCTCGAGGTTTTTTTTTTTTAATCTCCTGCACAGCTCGCTCTCTCTCGCGCGCTCTGATCAGCACAGGCACAGAAGACCTGTTCAGAAGCACCAAGACAGCAGCAGCAGCAGCACGACTCAGGCTTGGAAGGAACGGACTCGGTCACATCTCCTCACTAGAGCTGCTGCTGCTTGCAAGATTGCTTTTTACTCCCTTTTAGTAACAGCGTTGAATTGTCCCCCCTCTCTCCTTCAAAGAAACAGGGCACTGGCAGGAATGCAGTATCCGCACTCTGATTTTTTTTCGCCAGGAATACTTTCGGATACGGGATTCGTTTGCATATCCAAACACTCTTACTGCAAGTAGTTCAATAATATTGCTTCTTCTTTTTTTTTCTCCCCTTCATCACTTTGGATTGTGATGTACTGCCCTGATTGTGTCGGTATCTGGGAGGTGAAAGGAGGGATCGAGTTGGAGAGACTTACAGATTAGCACATACTGTACTGCTGTGGATCACAGACGGCAAGGAAGGGGAAGTGAATCTCTTTCGTCTGTTCACATCTGTGAGAAAATCCCCGTTTTCATCACATCGTCACTGTTTTTTTTTCTTACATCTGGAAGGTGCTTAGGGAGAATCATACCGAAGCGCCATTAAAAGAAGATTGCACCTTACCGTGATACCCTCACCCTAAAGAAAAGGATATTTTGATTGCATCTCTGCCTTCGGCTTTTGTTTTACTGTAATTCTGTATATATATATTTTTTATTTACAGTTGGGTGTAGGATCCACCATAAACGCGCAAAATAGGAACAGTTTGCAATGCCAGGGCAGTGAAAGGGTGCATCTATTCCGTCGCCCTGTTCAGATAGCATGGCTTCATCCCAGAGGAAATGCAGCTTGGAGATGATTGTGGTGTCGGGATGCATGCTTCTGTTTATCTTGGGATTCCGACCTGTTTTTGCACGAGGTTGCAATGACAACGCTGGGCACAATTTGGACAATGCGTGGTATGCTAAAGACGGCAAAGAGTTGCCCATCATGGTCTTGATGCCGATGAATGAATCAGCGCTTATGAGCAGTATCAGTCAAGGGATCGACCCCGCTGTTCAGCTTGCCATTCAGCATACGAAAGAGTCCGGGAATTATTCTTTCTCTTTGATCCCCAAAATCTACGACACTGAGGTAACTCGCAGTGTTCTGTTCATTAATATGTCGTTGGTGTTGGTTGACGGTTACAGTCATGTCTACATGATATAACACTGGCAGGGAACTATGCATGCACGATGAACTGCCAGTGATGCAGGTACGGTAGATTCATGTGGAAACTGGATTCTGAGATGGGTTGGTACACCTGCGCTGCACACCGCAGCCAGATCTTCTTAGTATTGCTGCAGAAAGACTTCAGAGATAAAATAGAACAACGTGACATCCTATCCCCAAAACAAACTAATCAAGAATGGGACTGAATCCACACTACCGGCCATATACCCTATACAGTACCTAGCTTAACACAGAATAGATAAAAATAAAATACCTGCGCAAACGTCATGGCAATTTCAAAATCTTGGGAATTATTTTGTAGATTACTTTTGGTTAAAATAACTAAGTGACATGAAAAGAGACTTAAATAAACCGAATACAGGTTTTAATTTCTGTGAGGAATGATGTATACAACACATCGAAATATTGTTAATGGAAACGTTAAAGCACCGCAAAACAGAAAGGAAACATTTAACTTTTCTTCCGTTAATCGATGTAGAAACGCTGATGTTTTCAATTGCAATCAATTGCTTAATTGCAACCAATTATAGACATTTGTAAAAAAGATGTCTACATTTGCAGGGATTATAAAGTCACAATGCTTTCCTACAGTATAGTATATGCTGGTGCATGTCGTATTTTCAATATACTGTCCTTTCAAGATCCTTTTAGTCATTTTAATAGATATGAATGATTCCTGTAAATTCGAGTGGCTATGAAACATTTATCCTTTTATCGTACATTAAGAACGTTGCTTAAAAATTACTTGACTTTCTTTTTAATGCCAAATGTGCTGTTTACAGTGGACGCTTGCCACCTTCATCAATAATCTATTTCAGTCACGATTTATATTATTTTGTCACAAGCTTGCTGCTAATTTTGTTTACCTGAAGATGGCAGTAATTTCTTGTTCAAAATCTTTTCTAGTCTAGCCAGCACATCATTGTGAAACCATCAATATTAAAAGTAATCGAGAAATCTTGATCTCCTTGACATTATTAAGGTGGTGACTTTTTAGAATATTTCTGCATCGAGGAATCGGGCTATAGCACATTTTATGTAACTTTGTCCATCTGTTATTTTGATTATGAAAAACGGGACGTACTGTAAGTAATTCCGGCCAACTTCATTCACCAGAGAGATGCCTTATGAGACTTCTGTCTCAACAGATGGTTGGAAAAATATCACAGGTGATTAAAAACCATGACGAAGTTTCTTCATCAGAATAACCACATGGCCATCGTGTTTAGAATGACTGGAGAGGACTCGTTTCCTCTGGAAATTATCAGCATCGTAGAATATTTTTGCTCATTGCACTTACTGTATCTAGTGCTCGGGTAATATGGAAATTTTAGGGCCACATTATCCGATTAGAAGATTAATACCATTACGAAAGAAATATATACTGTAGATCACTTTTTTTAATTGATGACATTTATCACAAATTTAATTCTCCTCACCCAATATGAAGGTAAAACTGATCTAAAAAAGAAACAACACATTTTTTTAGTTCTCGACATTGTCACAGTGAGCATAAATGACTGAAAATTACTGAAAATAAACCATTGACCAACAAAAATTAAATCAACCAGTCAATAAACCAATCTCTGATCTGGTATGTAGTCGAATTGAAGGTTTTTTGCAATGTTAGCTTTCCTTGCCATCTTTATTATTACAATCCAATTAAGTATGTTTAATGAAACTTATGTTATGGTTGTGTAGAGCATTTTAAAGGTGCAAAGGAACATAATTACCTTTAATTTAGTGGAAAGGCAGTCTTAGCCAAAAAGCATTTAATAAATGTCACTAAAAGCTCACTTGAGGTCAATTAAGAAATTCATGAGGTATATGGCCTAATTGTTAAAAATGCAATCATTATGGTAGTGGGCTTTGAAAATCTAACAGAAATTGACAGTGCATGGAATGCAAAGGTGTTGCTGAAACTTTTCATGGCTTAGTAATTGCATTGCATTCTCTAGGAACCCATGCCGTTAAATTAAATATTCTTTATATTCCTTTGTCTGTTTTGTTCATCATTAAGATTATTTATAACGTGTAATATATTGGATACTCATCCAGAATTGGATCTTTGTCTTGGGAAGGGGTGAACGTTAATGGCTTTGAAGGCTTGCAAAATGAAATTCATTTGAATTCCAACAGTATTGGTACATGTCCAATATTGAGTACAGTAATTAGCCCGTAGTTTTCCCAGATAAATTGCAATTGACATTTAGCCTGTCAGTCCTGTACATTTGAAATACCTATTAGGAAAGTGCAGGTCGGACTTAATCCTAGAGGTATGTTTTAACAGAGAGTGCATAGTTCAGTGGATGGAAGTGGGTTAATTTAATAAAATGCAAACATTTTGAAAATGGATGAGTTTAGAGTTACAGTATTTATTCCTAGGCTTTTCTATCATGGACTTTACTCCAAAAAAAAAGTACAGAGGGGCTAAGAATCCTGAATGTGTGACTTACAGTACGTTCCTTTTCAACCATCCATCCATTTTCAAAACTCTTCACCCCAGTCAGGGTTGTGGGGGAGCCAGAGCCTATTCTGGCAAGCAGAGGGTGCAAGGCAGGGTACACCCTGGGTGGGATACTAGTCCATCACAGGGTGCAAACACAGACACAAAAATTCACACCAGGGCCATTTTTACCAGAAGCCAGTCAACCTACCAGTACGTGAACACAGGGAGAACATACAAATTAAACACAGATAGCACCCCAGGCCAGGACTTGAACCCAGGTCCCCAGTGCTGTGAGGCAACAATGGTCACCACTGTTTTAAGATAGCAGCTTTGTGCCTTTTTTATTTTAATACCACAGAACCTGAAGTTGGTGAGAATTCCACTCAGAAGCTTCATGAGGGCATACTATTCAAGTGCGCGATGATAGTCTTGCAATGTTCACTTTACATATCGAAGCAGGAGAAAAATATGGTTGCAACATGGAAATCTAACATTGACCTGATCGTGAAGAATTGAGCAATTCTTTTTTCAGTTTGATTCTGACACATCTGGTAGCATAGTCTAGAATTTAAAAAAGGCCATGTAAGTAGGCAGGGTGATCCAAACTCTTCAATATCCCTTCACGTTCTGCGTGTTCTTTCATTTCAGTTTATCTTCCGCTTCTTTTAGCTTGAGTTTTCTTTTATCAGGATCACCTTTATAATCTTCCTGTACACTGAATTACTTATTGTCGCTGAAAACAAAACCCGCAGACTGTGATTCATATGCCTTGGGATCTCCACACAGTGTCCAGTATCTACAGGTGTACAGTATGTACAGAAAAGTTAATTTGCAGAGACAAGATATACTGTAGGTACCACATACCAGGTACTCAGCAATGCCAAGTAGATGTTGCACATGTTGGTTTCTGTTCTTCTAGCTTTCATACTGTATTTGACAACATGTGGTGATTACTGGCTTTGTGTAGCATCTATCTGATGTATAGCTTGGAAGACCATACAAGTCCTGTTTGTTCTAGAGGTAGTTCTAGAAAACACATACTATCATCAGAACAGTGCATACTACACTCAACAACTCTGCCGGTCACATAAAGTCTCAGATGACTCTGTTTTAGTAGCTTCAATTGATATGTGGGGGATTTAAAGAAGAGGAACAGGAATACTAGTCATAAGGTTAGACCTACAGTAGATCACAGAAAACAAACCTTTTAATTTACATCTAAGGTTATGGACTGGTTGGTAGCTGTTCCTGTTGCAAAAAGGATTTACTATACTAATAAGTGCGCATTGACTGTGGACATTGATTTTCTACTAGTTCCCACAGAGGAAACATGCATAACATTGTGAATTGGAGCACGGGATGCAAAGTTGTAAATGTGTCATGTTATCAGAATCATGAGGAATGTAGCAATAAAAAACTAGAAAGAACTACAAACATTTGATGGAGAAGCTCACTTGTTTAATAACCAACAGCCTGTAATATCACTATATAAGTAAAACATAGGTTTATTGCACTGTTTTATTGTTTATTGAGTCAAAGAATCTCAGAAGACTTCATCAATGTGAGAATAATTCTATTAATATAACTATGGGTCTAAAGTAATTTTTTATACATTTTAAGGAGCCCCGGGCTACAATACATTATCTCCTGTGATTTTCTTTCCCTATTCACTTTAGAAACTCTGAAAGGGGCAAATGTTTGTTTGGTGTCTGGAGATTATTTGCAGACTAGGGCTGTTTGTTCTCTAAAATCCACCCTTGGCATCTTACACTGACCTCTCTGCAGCCCCAGGGAATTATAATTAACATTCTATTGCATTATGTCTAAAACATTTACGCTTTCTCCTAAGCAAAACACATTTTGCTTTAGAGCGATAATTTACTGAAGAAATACATCTCCTTAATATTCCCAAAGAAATGTGGCCCAAGCCGAATTCAGATGTACAAATGATACTCGTAGATTAATGTATAAAACATAAAATTCATTACTTTGTGTTGAATAATATTGCTTAGAAATCCCAGTGCTGATTGCGGTGATTGACCATAAAGTGTAACAATGTATACACGATTTATGTAGCTTCTCATTGCAGATATTGAGCATGACAGATTAGTTGCTGTACAGATCCCGGCGATCAATAAGTAGTATCAGAAGCTGTGTGTTCATTTTTATTACTCTTTTTCATCAGGTAATCTAATTGAAAACATTCGTATTCACTAGAAATGAGATCCATTTATACCTTAGCAGCAAGCTGTGGGAAATACCAAGTTAAAGTGCACAACAGCAGCATCCCACAAATCTCTGGGTGGGAATGTAGAGACCAAACCACTCCTTCACTTTGCTCTTCTATGTTTACGGAGGTAATTGTGGAAAAATATGACCCCTGAAAGCTCAGAATAAACACGTCTACCTGTTCCTTTAATTTGACCATAATGCCAGGGACTAGCTGCATCAT